AAAAAAGTAAATCAGAGACATATTTATAGTAATTATGCAGGCAAATTTGCCTGCAAATCTCTACCAATTAAGGGATATATTTCAAAAAAAAAAAACCTCCTAACAAAATGATATAGCTATATCATAGCTGAAAAATTATATAATACTCTTAAATTTAGCTTTATTCTAGATTTAGTCTGTATTATATATAAATATCTTCAGAATAGAGTTAGCCCTGCAAGAATTATTATAAAAAGTTCTCCAATCGGTCAACATCAGTTCTTGTTCTACATGACACAGTTTAATTCATAGATCATCCATCCTAATTTATATCTCGAGCCAGGTGCTATTGCCATCTAAGGACCTGTATCTCAAGCTACCTGCTGTCATAATTAGAGTTTCCAAGCCACCAAATCTGTGATTCCTTGTGACTTCTGTTCCCAATTTGGAATTGGTAAACAATGCAGATCTTTTGAAGGGGTACGTCAATTTTCTCACTTTTTGTTTAGCAAAAATTCCCTAAAAAAATCCAAACCAAGCAAGAATATGGAGAGGGGGTTTTCAATTGCAGGTTCTTCAAAATTTCCAAAAGAGAGTATTGAAAAAACTTGTTTTGTTGTTCCCCACTGTTTTGCTATAGATAACTTTGTCAACAGAGTTTTTCTATCACTCCACCAAAATTTCATACACAAGAGTACCACCTCTTGTCAGTTATCTTGTATAATAATGCTTTTAGCTTGTATGTTGAGTATATAGAGGAGTCTCTAATACAGCACAGGGTTGATCTCTACAAAAACATACTCTATATTATTTTACTACACCTTGGATGTAGACAATGCTCCAACAAACCTGTTTTTCTTTAGCGAAGAAAATTGGTCCAAGTGATTATCAAAGAGAGTTGATTAGATTTATATATATTATTAAATTATTATTATATCAAATAAATAATTATTTTTATTTTTATTTATTTTTATTATAATTTAATTGATAATTCTTCAGTTAACTGGTGCGTGATTTTAGTAAAATATAACTCAGATTACTATATAAATTTACTATGGTGCGAATGTGGCGTTTGCCTAAGATAAACTTTTTTTATACTAAATTAATTATCTTTCTTGCTTAAGAGACTTTTGTAAAGCTTGTCAAGATGCATCTAATAGTGGTTAAAGCATCAAAATTAGCCTGGTAAGTACTAAGATATCTTTAAAAAACCTCTCTTTTACTATGTAAATTTCTTTGCAAACAATAGTATTGTGGTAGTATTGTTTGCAAAAAAATTTATATAGTGAAAGAGAGGTTTTTTAAAGATATTTCAGTACTCACCAGGCTGATTTTGATGCTCTAACCACCATTAAATACATCTTGACAAGCTTTACAAAAGTCTTTTAAACAAGAAAGATAATTAACTTAGTATGAAAAAAGTACATTCACACTATAGTAAATTTATATAGTAATCTGAGTTATATTTTACTAAGATCACACACCAGTTGACTAGAGAATCATCAATTAATAGAAATTGTTTAAATATTACAACACTTGAGGATATAGCAAAGATATATTTCTATTATATTTCAAATGCTAATATCAAACTTATATATGCAATATTAGATTTAGAATTAGATGAATTGCGGCAAAAAGTTTTAAATGCAACAATATCAATGGAATTGAAAGATAAGAACAAAAATAATATAACTATGATAGATGAAACTGAGGAACTTTTTATACTAGATGAGGAAATTAGAAATGATACAATTTCAATCAAAGATAAATTGCTAATTATTGATAATACAATAGATTTAAGTTCATCGAATTTCATAGTATAGCCTCTAGATAGCAATAATTCTAAATTAGTCGAAAATGAATTTAAAAAAGATCATGATAATATGGAATTTAATATTGATACTTTGGTGGATAACTTAGAGGTTTATTAAGTATTGCTAATTGATGCTTTGGTGAGTAATATAAGCATTATTAAATTAATGCTTTGGTGGATAACTTAGTGATTTGTACATTGCTAAATAAGTAAATATATTTCGTAATAATAAATAAGAAATAAATATAAATTGCTTTTTTATTTATTGCAAGTTCATATATACTGCACATACTATATATAGCATAGTATAATTAATAATTGTTATGTATAAATTACATAATTATGCTAATATTTTAGCTATAAATTGTTATAAGACAAATTGCGACAATTAATTTAGATTATGGCATGTATTTTGGATTTCAGCTTTTGTTTTGGATTGTGGCTTTTATTTTAGATTGTAGTATAAATTATGGTTTGTGGCTTTTTTTTTGTCAAAAAGTTAATACCTAAATACTTTTGGCACAGCCAAAACTAATTTCTATGGCATGTATAGATAGTATGCCAAATTTTTTTTGCTATGCTATTTTTTTTAATTTAGGGGCCCTACTTTGATTGAAGTTATCCTGGTACCTACTTGATTATTTGAATTCTATAGCTATTAGAATTTGAATAAAAAAATTTTCTTAGAATTTTTTGAAAAATAGTTGGAATTAAATTGATGTATATAGAGTTATTCTTGATTGGTTTGCGCTACAGATAATCATGTACCAGTGAAAATTTTGGTGGTAATCTAGGATCATTAGGGGTACTCTTATATCAAGCAAATTCTGGGCTAAAGATTGCTAAAAATCACTTTTGATCATAAATTTCATAGATTGGATCCAATAAAATTACAGTATCTTGTGTAACAAAACAAACATAAAAAATATAAGAAAATGCAAAAAATTGTAAATAACGCAGAATTTTATTATACTAACTAACTTCCAACTTTTAAATAAAAGTTTTTGACATGAAATTTTAATCATAAAAAGCATTTTTATATATTAAATATATAGGAAATTTTGATATACTACAACCCAAAATTTTTAGGCCGAAAATGATTTTAAGCCCGAAATTTGCTTGACATAAGGATACCTGGGTTATTAGGGGTATCCTTATGTCAAGCAAATTTCGGGCTAAAGATTACTTCTGGCCTAAAAATTTTGGGTTATAGTATATCAAAAATTTTCTATATATTTAGTATATAAAAATGTTCTCTATAACTAAAATTTCTTGCTCGGGAGTTAGTTGGTATAGTAAAATTTCGCGTTATTTACAATTTCTTGCAATTTCTTACATTTTTTGTGTTTGTTTTGTTAAACAAGATCCTGTAATTTTATTGGATCCGATCTATAAAATTTATGATCGAAAGTGATCTTCAGCGATCTTCAGCCCGGAATTTGCTTGACATAAGGGTACCCGGGTAGGGTAGTTAGTTACCCGACCCAATTTAGTCTAGACCCGCGAAATTACGGGTCAAACCCCGTACCATCGATCTTATGTTACATCTGATCTAGCCAATAAGCATTGATTATAAAAAACGATTGCACCTAATCTAGCCAATCAAATCTCATAATTTGCGGACACAGAGACATTTGGAATCTGGGATTTGGGAATTTGGCCAGAGTTTGGGATTATGATAGATTTGTCCAATTTGGGATTTTTCCATATTGGATGGGATTTTAAAGATTTGCACGTAGTTCGTGCGGCATATATATATACCATAATATAATCCTTATTTTCAAAAAAAATTTATTTAAATATTTTAAATTTCAAAAAAAATAAATTATAAACAAATTTATAGCAATTTTCCAGACAAATTTGCCTGGAATTGCTTTACAGTTTAAGGTATAAACAAAAAAGATATATATACTTATATTTGTTAGTCTTCTAATTAAATATAATAATTCGGGTTGGAGGGTGCAGACCCATATAGCTGATAAGATGTCGATTTTTATTAATGATTTTCTAAAACCAATAGGTATTCTTACTTATTATGTGCATCGATATAATAATTAGACCTATATATCGCTTTTATTCTGCATATTCTGTCTAGTCGTTGCTTAATTTTGAAAATAACGAAGTTTTAGTAATTTATATCCTTGATTTTGGGGTTTTGAATTTGACGCTATTGATTAAAACCTGGACATATATTTGGATTTTGATTATTATCCCAAATGAAGTAGAAATTTCGATTCTCAAACTCAAGTTATGTAGTAATGATATTATGCTCCTTTTGAAAAGCAACGAATTCTTCTTCTTTAGTTTTATATGACTGAACTAATTGATCTATCGCTCTTTTAATCTTGAAAAAAAACAAATCTATGTGAAAATTAATATTTAGAATATTCAAATTGATACATTAATCTAAAAATACATGTACCCCATCGTGATTTGTTTGAAGGGCAGGCAACACATCTTTTACGGTACGTTCAACCAGCACACCACCCACAAGTCGAAAGCATTTCCGATCGCCGTTTAGAGGGGATATTGTGTCTATCACGGCCCTTTTTAAATAGATTAAATTCATATACAATCACATTATTCAATGTAAGTAAAATTATACTCTACTTATGCTCCTCGACTTCCGATTCAAGTTCACCAATTTTTTGTGCAATGGTTTGTAATTCGTTTTTCTTGAGGTTAAATTGCGTAGTTACCTCTATATTTAAAAAAAGATAAAAGTTGACGCTAAAGAGGTATTTCATAGAAAACCTAAAGAAATACGTTATTTTTAACCTTGATTGGTAAGCTTCTTAGATTTGGAAGAAGACATTGTAAATTAAAAAGTGCCGATGCTTAACGATAATCATATTCATTAGTTAGCCAATGAAACTAATTTATTTTGTACCACAAAACCCTTATAAATAGCAAAAGAAAAAAATTCGCCTTATAAAATATTTTCATGAATGGTCAGTCGGACTGATATAATGCTTGAACATGCTTGTAAGTGGGACAGCTGTCGTGAAAAGTTCAATTCAGTTGCTTCTCTTTGGGAACACGTAGAGCGCCACATTGATAATGCAGAGCCAAGAATGATACACTTCGTGAACGATGATGGTAACAAATTGTATTGATCGGAGTTGATTAGTTACTTGCAATGTTAGTTTACAAGATCCACGTGCCATATTGTAATATATTAGACACATTAGACACGCCGCAAGCAAAGATCGCGACATCTTCAGTTCCGACCACTTTAGCCGAAAAGACTCGAGGACCTTTCCAATCAACCTCTCTTCATAATGCAAGTGCTCCAACAAACGTAGACAATCATTCCGCACAAATTACTAGTATCCAACAAAGTACGATACAATTTTCACATCAAACATTAGGCAATTCATATTTAGTAAATCAAGCCGGCCAAGTTGCGTTCAATCCTCTCGGATTACAGCAAATAATCAGGCCAGGGCCACAAGGCGTAACACAGGGCGTTCAGCCGGTAAATTTTGTACAACCAGTACAACAACCATATATTATAACAGCAACACCTCAAATTATGATGAGACCTACACCAATTTATGGGCTGCAGCATTATCAACCAACTATTAATCTGCAGGGGGTTAATGCACCTCAACTGACATCTATACAACCACAGCCTTCTGGAACACGGCCGATTGCAATTGGAAACACATCTAATTCAATACCAACTACTGATGATAATGCTTCAAGAGTTGGGGGACCAAATCGGATATCTGCACCTCAATCTTTGCAAATTACTAGTCGTAATCCACCGGCAGTTCAAAGAGATCCCCAGTAAGCTCAATAAGGTATCAAATTATATTATATTTATTAAACGAATATCGCATTTTATACTAATAAATGCTTTAACTTGATAAAATCGGCCTAGGAATATGAGATGATTTTAACTATTTTAATGTCATGAATAAAACATAAATGATCGATCATATCAAATACCATGATATTTTACATTTTATTGGTGTTCAATTTTTTTACATAATTATTTTGCGTTAACTTTAAATTTGGAAAATTTGGCTAGTTACATACTTTTGTCCTGTAGTTTCTTTAGATACATATATTTTCAAAATTTTTATAATGAAAATGTTCCTTTTTTAGTACCCTTTGTAAAAATTCTAGTGTGCAACTATGGGATTTTCGTCAAGTGCGGTCTTTAACATCCTAGAATAGGGTGTTTCACATCGATTTGATTACATAGTATAGGTGATGATTACCATATCCGCGGATATTTGGAATTACTATTTAAAATTTTCAAAATCTTTAACCATAAATAACTTTTGATTCACTGATCCATTTTGGATGATTTTACCATCAAAATGACCGTCTCAATGAGACGAGCTCAGAATCCCGAGGATTTGTGTCACTTCGGGTGTTTTAAGATTGATTAAGGGATCTCATTATTGGATTTTAATGACTCGTTATAATTAGTGATGCTCGTGAAAATTCCGGATGCGTCGGAACCGGGTATCCTTATGTCAAGCAAATTTCGGGCTTAAGATCATTTCCGGCCTAAAAATTTTGGGTCGTAGTATATCAAAAATTTCCTATATATTTAGTATATAAAAATGCTCCCTATGACTAAAATTTCGTGCCGAAAACTTTTATTTAAAGGTCGGAAGTTAGTTAGCATAGTAAAATTTTGCGTTATTTACAATTTTTTGCATTTTCTTATATTTTTTTTGCGTTTTTTGTTACACAAGATCCTGTAATTTTATTGGATACGATCTACGAAATTTATGATCGGAAGATCTTCAGCCCGGAATTTGCTTGACATAAGGGTACCCGTCGGAACCCTGATCGGATGGGCCGGAATCACCAATGAAATCATAGTCGTTCATTAAGTAAAAAATGCCCAGCCGATAGCTCCTGCTAACCAGTATAACTAACCCGACCCTACCCTGATGCATTCCGGCCATTCTGACCTGGAAATTTGGGGATCCTTCTGTAAAAAAGTCATTGAGACAGTGGTAAAATCATCTAAAATGAATCAATAAATCAAAAGTTATTTAATTAAAGATTTTAAAAATTTTAGATAGTAATTCCAAATATTTGCGAATATGTTAAGATTTTTATAGATCAATGATAATATAATAGTAAAAATATAAAATTCAAACTACAATAACTCTTAAACTAGCAAGCCTGCACAAATAAAATTATTTTTATCGATGTTTTTATTATCCGGAATAGGCTTAAAAAAGAGAAAAATCACTTGATTATTTTTAAAGTTTGGTCTAAAGGTCTGCAATCATTGTAATTCCAACCAACATTGATTTTTAAATTTTGTCTGGTTTGTCGTAATTCCAGCGACATAAATGTAATTTGCAGAATTTTGCAGAATTTATTTTCTAATTGGTGCACCTACAACGATTTTTCATAGTTAGTGATTTTTGTATCTAATCAGATTTACATGTATATAGCTTACTCTTTTGTTTTTAAATTTTCGTGTCAATAATAGCTGTTCTTATAAAAGCTGAGTTATTTATTAAGACTTTTCAGATTTTTAAAATGAACATGTATATAGTTTATTTTTATATTTACACTTTGTATCAATAATGAGCAGAGACAATGATTTTCTGCATTGTACAGAATACCCAGCCACATAAAAAATACATGGCAAATTCTCGATTTTGATTGGCTAACGGCCGTGGATCTTCAAAAATTTGGCCCGGAATTAACTTTTTAATTTTTTTATTACAAAATAAAAATTTTTAAAAAATAAAACCCACATTATAGTAAAATTGGCTCAGGAACAACATATGCGCTGATTTTGGTTTGACCCAAAATCAACCAATCATAATTGAGGATTATCAACACATTTTGTACATAAATTTTATTACAAACTGAATTTTCATAAAAACAGCCCTTTTAACTAACCTTATACTCCTAATTAAATACATAGGAAATTGCAATATTCATATATTTTATTATAAGCTAAAAGTAAGTTAAAAAGGCTATTTTTTGAAAAGTTGCTTCCGAATTCATCCTTGAACAGTTAGAAACCAATTAAATAATGATTAACCAATTCTGAAACATCCAAGTATGTCAACAAATAGTAAAAGTACCATTTTTTATAGCTTAGAATAGTTGTTTTATTAACTTTTATTTGTCTTTTATCTTGTCTAGATACTAAAAAAAACTCCTTTATTAATTATAACAAATGCTTTGTTTATTACTTTTTTAATATTACTAGGGCAAAAACTTCATAACTGTTTATCTAAAAAAAGGCCCAAAAAACAAAATTAGCCCATATGATTTTTACTTAGTAGACAGCTATGATTTTATTAGTAAAATTCTCTTAAAATTGTGAATCTGCTATACATTTTTTGTGTAGCATCTAGGTTCAATCATGGATTAGGGTGATGAATGCGGAAAATATTACAATTACCGCAGAGATTGAATCTAGGTGCTGTACAAAAAATGCACGGCAGATTCTCAATTTTGATTGGCTAATAGCCAAAGATCTTTGAAATTTTGGTCCACATTACAAAATTGTTTACTAAATTCTGGCTGAAATTAACTTTTTAATTTTTTTATTACAAAAATAGAAATTTTTAAAAAATAAGTATACAATATGGTAAAATTAACCCAAAAACAATTTTTACTTAATAAGTAGCTGCGATTTTATTAGTAAAATTATGAGTAATTCTGGCTTAATTTTTTTTAGCCAATCAAAATCTGCGCATTTTTTGTATGGCACCTAGGTTCAATTGGGTTAGAAATAAATATATAACTTAGTCCTTGCAATTCTGATTTGTGATTGGCCTGGGGCTGCTAACCAAAAATGTCAAGTAATAGATATTTATATATAATTATAAATGTAATATTAGAATTTACAAGATAAGATAAAAAAATTAGTATATAATCAAAGCAAATTAAAATAAAATAAATAAAAAAAAGCTTCTTTATAAGCCTAAATATGTATTGCTAATAAAAGAAACATTAAAATTAATTAATAAAAGAGATTTTTAATAAGAATTTTTTTATATTTATATTTATATAAATTTTTTGTCTTGTCTAATCATATTTAATTTTTAACTTTAATTGCTATAATGTAAGAAAAAAAAAATAAAATATCAAAAGTTATCTCTTAAATTGTTTTGCAGCCAAATTTGCCTGCAAACTTTTTTAAATTTTAAATTTTTCTAATAAAATTTTAA